GTGTTTGAGTCACATATTTGATGTTAGAGTTGTTTCCCAAGGAAAGGTGTCTGTTTAGGTCTAATAAAGGAAAATGCATAGGAAAAGCAGGGCATAATGGGCACACCTCTTTTTTTTAATGTTTTTTATTGCCCGGCTGGGCGTGGCTCAGCGGTTGAGCGTCTACCTAGGATCAAGGCGATCGGGGTTCGATTCCTGGTCAGGGCACATGCCCTGGTTGCTCGATCAATGACTCTTTCATCATTGATGTTTCTCTTTCTCTCCCTCTCCTTTCCTCTCTCTGAAATCAATAAAAATATATTTTTTAAAAAAATGTTTTTTATTGATTTCAGAGAGAGGAAGGGAGAAAGAGAGAGAGATAGAAACATCAATGATGAGAGTCATTGATTAGCTGCCTCCTGCTGGATCAAGCCCACAACCCGGGCATGTGTCCTGACCAGGAATCAAACTGTGATATCCTGGATCCTAGGTCAATGCTCAACCCCCGAGCTGTGCTGGCCGGGCGAGCACAACACCTCTTTAATTTATCTTACCGAGTAGTGAATTATGCAGTGAGTTACAGTCTGGTAGGGAACTGTTAATTTCTCAGCTCTTCAGAGACATTGGGTCTATTTAATATATTTCATTGTATTCAGTAGGGTCCTAGGTATGTGTAGCAGAACCAGAGAGAAATCACTCTGTTAAAATCTTTCTCTGGGGTGCTGTTTACCAGTTTGTTTTCTCTCCAGAACTATAAGTAATAGGTGGTTCTGCTAGCACCAGTTCTCTTTCTCTCTACATATATCACTATCTACAAAAATTGATTAATTTGGGGTTTCATGAAGACATGCTTTGGAATCATCGTGCAATATGTACTTCTATACACATACAATTCATTATAAATATGAGTATGAAAAGCATATTTTGGAATTTTGATCTAAATCTCACTTTATAGGAAATTTGAGTAACATTAAAAAGAGAAACTATATTTCTTAAAAATCTCTTCAAGGGCATTAAAGATGAAAATTACATTCATCATGGGGAGTACATTAAACATACAACTACAGATGAGTTAATCATCCTTTTTAGTTTTACATAACCTTTAAAATGGATTATAATATGAAAAGCTATAGCATTTGGATTAAGTGATTTTTTTTCTTGTTGGCATAATAAAAATGGTGGTGTAATAGCGCAGGTTGAGCGGAGCTGTGCCCTGTGGCTATTGCTAAGCCCTCCTGAATGCTTTGATGCAGCTTGACTGCCCTCTTCAGGCTGCGTGGGGACATATTAGAACAATATACTGAGGTCATAAAACTAGGCCTCTAATATTCCTGTGAACTCCAAAACAGAAAATTTTTTTCTGGTTAACAATGTTGGAAGTATACTTACTTGACTGAAATATTTGGAGCATTCATGGTTTTCCGATTTCAGTTTTAGATGGCAGTGAAGTCTGAAGTGTGCCAATAAACACCAGTGTGATGCCTTACTTCACTCTCTAGTCCAAGCTGACACAAACATGGGCAAGAACCCAGTGAATCTGTTTGTCATTAGTTAGGATTCTTCTATCCCCTATTAATCAATAAGAAGTTGGACTGAAAGGGGTTCAGGATAGTGGAGTTAAGTGTAGAGAACAGAGTTTATGTTTTTGGAACATACCCTTTCTAATGAGTCTTTTATACTCTGAATAGATGTCATCAGCATTGAAATTTGTATTTCTCAGGCTCACTGAATTATTTTTAATGACAGACAGATCTGTTCAGTGATCCTATTGCTAGTGAATTATATCCAACAGAAGAAAGCCCCCATTTACCTTGTCAGTATTAAATTTTCTCTAAATGTTTTATTTGTGTTGAAAAATGTAATTTGCTTGGCTCCCCTCAAATTCTCTATTCCAGGCAGATATATTGCTAAGTAGAAGAAACTTGTGTAGAAAATTTTGCTGATTACTTTGGTGCTCTAGATTCTAAAGGAGAATATTAAGAAATAGGTCATATCTTCATTTGTAGTCTATTTAAATAGCTTCATATGTTTTCCCAACTAGATCATTATAGTAACATTCTGAGTGGTTTCCAAACATTTATTTTCTCCTCCGATATATTATATACACCTTTGCCACATACAGCATTCTTAATTAGCATTTTGCATAATCCACTTCCTTCAAAACACTCATCATTGCTCACTGTTTACAGAACAAAGTCAAGGTCCTATTTATGTTTCTACCAGAGGAGAGCTTCCAGTCTCTTCTTATTTTCGAACATGAAACTTACATTCTATTATTTGAGCATATATATACATATTTCAGACTTGGTAGTTTTTCTTTTTATCGCTTCTGCTACCTTAATATTCTCTTTCTGTTCTTTCTTGCTTATACTCTTAATCCCTCCATTCTTTCCTGAATAACTTTACATTTTACATTCACACTTTGTCCAACTGCCCCAGTCCACTGTGATCTCCTCCTCTGTATGCCATGTAACACCTATGATCTGCAGTCTTTTTAAATATCTGTGTCTTATTTACGTATTAGTGTGTGTCTGTGCCTTTCCCTCACAACCTTCTTAAAGGTGGAGATGTGAGGTATACTTATTACTGCAGCACATATTAAAATGCTGAATAAATATTATTGATGATTAAGATCTAGATGCTATATTTGCATATGAAATTGACATTAAGAATATGATGTTAGATGATGCCTTAGTCCACTGTTCCTTTGAAAAATAGCATTTATTTGTTCTGAAATATCGTAATATGTCTGGGGTTGGTCTTTTTTAAAATTCCTCTTGCCCGTCCGGGTGTGGCTCAGCGGTTGAGCGTCAGCCTAGGATCCAGGCCATAGGGTTTTGATTCCTGGTCAGGGCACATGCCCGGGTTGCGGGCTCGATCCCCAGTCGGGGGTGTGCAGGAGGCAGCCAATCAATGACTCTCTCATCATTGATGTTTCTATCTCTCTCTCTCCCTATCCTTTCCTCTCTCTGAAATCAATAAAGATATATTAAAAATAAATAAATAAAATAAAATTCCTCTTATTCAGAACCTGGAAAATAATTTTAATTTGAAGATTTAGCCTCCTTGAATTGTGTTATATCTCCAGAAATATTTCCTTCACTCTGTCTCTCTTCTCTCTCTGGTCTCTTTCTGTTTCAAAATTATATTTATTGGATTAAATCTCTAGGCTCCTTTCTCTCCCTTACCCCCAATATAGTCCTCCTGTGTCATTTTTTGTTTTGTGAATTTTACTGAACTCTGTCTTCTGATGTTGGTATTTAATTTGCACAGTCATATTTAAAATTATAAGTGCTCTCTTATTTCCTTTGTTCCCTCTTTACATGACATTGTTCTTTTTGTGTGTGTGACTACATTTGGGAGAAGCAGTCGCCATGGGCCCCAAGCATCCCTGCATGTTCTCGCTGAGTATGCCAAGAATAAAAAGTGTTGTGTGTGCAGGGACAAGCCTTAAGGAATGAGCTCATGACTCTCACTGAACATAGCACAAGTTTGTTATCACTTGCTATAAAAACAGTAAGTCCCTCAAACTCAGTATTCCTTTCTGGTAGCGCAGTCAGTTGTGTGCACGCATCCACAAGGGACCTTTCGCATCACCCTGTGAGACTTGGGGGCACAGGGAATTGATGCAAATGGACATGAAGTAATAATGTCTTCTGTGTCTGACCCAGGAGTCTCATGTCTTCTGCCAGCACCCATGAAGCAGTAACAGGCTAGCCTTGAAGGAGATAAAATCTCAGACCCAGCGTCTCTGCTCCTTCTGATCCAGTATTTTCCCTTGCTTTGTCCCTCACTGCAGTCTTTTGAGTGTGTAGCTTCTCCATCAGAACTTTTACACTAACTTGTTTTCCAGATATTCTTGAAATCTCTTATCTGCTGCTGACTTTTACTTCATGGCTTTTTGTTATTGTGGAAGTATACTTTTTTTATTTCTTTACTTGCATTTTTAGGAGGGGGACTCCCCAAACTCCTGTGAATAATCAGCTACTAGTGTAGGGAAGAATAACCCTCTCTTTTTATTAGTGTTTCAGCAATCACTGTTTTTTTATTTCATTACTACGCTTCCATCCTTCCAGCAACACCATTTCACTGTTTCCATTCCATCCCTACACCTAAATGTAGAGCTTTATTCTCTGGAAAATCCACAAAATGCCCAGTAGAAGTTAATTTAGAATAGAAGCTCTTGGAGGAGGGCTCATTTGTGCTGTTTGCTTCCTTGCGCTTTTGTTGACTTTTAGGTTTGACTGTAAGCATGTGTTTAGATGCACGGAATGTAGAAAGGTGCAGTATAACTGTTCACAGGTTGGAAATGTTCTCGTGATTGTTTCTTCATTGAACTGAATTACAATAGTCTTAGAAAGAGCGCTCTGCCTTCTACTGAAAGTGATCGGGAGATTTAAATTACATACAAGGAGATCCTGCAAAATGATTTTACCCTCCAGATAGGGGGAGAGGGCCATTTGGAGATTTGTAACAGCATTCGAGGGCCACACAAAATTATCCACTTAAAAATTAGCCATGAAAACAGCTCCTGGATTTATTGACTCCCGAGTCCCGCCTGCCGTTGCCTTGGGGGCAGACTGAGTGAGTTTTCGGGCTGTGTACGGCCTGCGGGCTGGATGCTCCTACCCAGGCCTGCCCTGGAGTAAGAGTTGTTAAGCTTTTTATTTAAAGGGCCTGAACAGAACAGGCTTTTAGCCCACTCGCTTTTGGTCACAGCTATTCAACTCTGCCTTAGATAGCACAATAGCAGCCAGAGCAAAAGATGTAAATGAACCACGTGGTTCTGTGGCAGTAAACCTTTATGAATAATAGAGTCTGAATTTTATATAATTCCCACATGTCATGGAATATTTCATCTTTTTCTTTTCTACAACTATTTAAAAATCTAAAATATATTCTTAGCTTGCTTCCTATACAAAAACTGGCCAACTCTTTTCCTAGAATTACCTGTTTTATTAAGAGTTTTGTTAATGCTTAAATACTGATATGTTTCTGCTCTGCTCCATTACTCTTATCAGGCAAGCGAATGAAGAATATCAGATACTGGCTAACTCCTGGCGCTATTCATCTGCTTTCTGTAACAAACTCTTCTTCAGTATGGTGGACTATGACGAGGGGACAGATGTCTTTCAACAGGTAAAAGTTATATTTTATTTTGCTAATATATTTAATATATAGAGTTGGTTATGGTTGATACATTTTTGTTTGCCAGATAAAAATACCGTTTATTGAATAAGTTAATAAATACAGCAGTTATAAGTTATTTGATGTGATTAAAATACAGCTGATGTTATTTTTATCATTGAATAGTGTTTGCCATTAGGGAGTATGGTCAACACGTTTTAACTTTTGGATTGTGGACCAAGTGTGTTTTGTCAGCATACAGTGGCAGTTTACAAGCATTAACCTTATTTTGATATTTAAATGTGTGTAGTTTAAGGTATGTATTATTTTGATATTTAATTGTATGTAGTTTTGTGCATAAATGTATGAAATTTTATCTAAAATTCAATGTAAGTTTTACTTAACCTTTACTTCTTTCCATATGGCAGATATAGATAATTTTATATATATGGTATTAACATTAAATATGTGTTGAAAAGTGTTCTCTGTTGTGGACTGAATTGTGTCTCTCCCAAATTCATATGTTGAAGCCCTAACCCCGGATATGACCATTTTTTTTGAGACAGGGACCTTAAGGAGGTAATTACCGTTAATTGAGGTCATAAGGATGGTACCCTAATAGAGTATGTCCTCATTTAGCCCTAATTACCCACTTAAACTTCATGTGTATTATTTCATTTAGCTTCACAATGATCCACAGAGAAAGATATTCTCTCTCTCTCTCACTATCAGGAAATTAAGGTATGGCGAAGTTGAGTCACTTGTTCGAGGTTATAAAGTTAGTGTAATATGGAGCTAGAATGTGAGCCCAGCAGTCCAGTTCCCAAAGCTCTAGCTCTTAACCTGCAGTTACTAATGTTTTATATTTACCACTGCTTGATCAGTGCCGTTCAAATGTAGACCTTTTGAAATGTAAAATCAAATGCAGTACCAGGCCTGATTAGTTTTGGTATCTTGGTCTGTTTTATTTTTCTCACATATGACACTCTTTGGCATAACGCTTTGCTAGGTCATGGAAAAGCATTTAGTTCGGTAAAGAATCTAGCTCACTAACTGCAAATGGGTCATTAGTGAATATTTATGCTTATTTGCCTCCAGATTGATTATTTTTTCATCTTTGCCAGTTTCTAGTTGAATAAGATAAATTCTCTCTTTGCCTTTAGTACCCTTTAGCTTTGGTCTTTCTTTTAGTATTTTGCACTCACTTCTTTCTCCATAAATTTACTTTGCCTTTAGGGGATGCTTATTTTTGTTCATCTATTCAGCAAATATTACTGAGTGCCTACTCTTATAGGGGCAGTGAATTGGCGAGAAAAGCATACAGTTCTTCCTCATAAGGACTTACACTGTAGGGTGCTAATAATAATAGTAATAATAATACTATAATAATAAAGAAAAATACATATAAATACGTAACTTCAAGTAACCTTACAAAGGAAAATTACAGTACTGCAAGAACCAAATCGTCTTTCCTGTAATTTATAGGTCTGGTAAATTCAGGTTGTTTAGAGCAAAATGTTGGCTTCTGCTACAGTCATCATCATTTTTAAAAATTTTTTAAAGTTTAATAGAGAAGTTGATCTACTTATAATTTGTTTGAAATTAACTCCATAATATACTTATATTGTTCATCAAATGTCAGTACTTTTCCTCCAGAAGTGGAAAGTCCATGCACTGCCTAATTATAATATTTATATTTTGCACTTTGAATTACTTCATTTTTTCTCTAATTACAGAATATAAGATAGAAAAAGACTGGAATGGCTGATAAAATATAGGGGATAGAGCTGGGGCTATGAATGATGTATGTTAAATGTGAAGATTTCGCACACAGCCTAATTTATAGGTTCTTTTTGATTCAGTAGTGCAGTAAGGTGAATAAAGCAGTAATTCAGTTCTGGAAAACCGCTTGGGTTTTCATAATAAAGGCTATCTTTTCAAAATTCATGCAGAAAAACATGAAATGTCAGATGAACGGTAGACAAAGATTGCTGGGGTGATGCTATATTTAGTATTTTCTTGTCTCGTGTTTTACAGCTCAACATGAACTCTGCTCCTACATTCATGCATTTTCCTCCGAAAGGCAGACCTAAGAGAGCTGATACTTATGACCTTCAAAGAATTGGATTTGCAGCTGAACAGCTAGCCAAGTGGATTGCTGACCGAACGGATGTTCATGTATGTTTGATTCCCACCTTTTTCATAATAATCGGCTAATTAGCTGGGTTTGTTAGAGCGTTTTAATAAGGCCACAGGATTTAAAAATTTCTCCATGCAGCACTTTTCCTCACGTACAGAAAACTGCCTGATAGCTATGTTAGGTGAATTTAAATGGTTTTTAGAATAATGATATTTTAAGAACTATTAAACTGTGTGTTAGGCACAAAGTAATTTCAGAGGCTAAAAAATATACTGAGTATTGCTCAATGGTATTAATAATCAAAGAAATTCTAATTAAAAAGCTAGATGTATAATTTTTATCTATCTTTTGGGCAAGTAAAAATGGGATAACACTCTCTTTTCATGAGCCATGTGAGAAAATGGCACTCATAAACTGTTCTTGGGACTATAAATTGGTATAAATTTTCTAACTGTATGTGTCATATCTTTATTTTATGCAATTTAAGTTAATAATTCCACTTCTAGGAATTTAATTTAAGGATATAATTGAGGATGATTTAAACTGCTTACCCATAATTTTTTTAAAGAGGAAATCACTATATTCTTTCTTTCTTTCTTTTTTTTTTAAATTTATTTTTATTGACTTCAGAGAAAGGAAGGGAGAGGGAGAGAGAGGGATAGAAACATCAATGATGAGAGAATCATCAATCGGCTGCCTCCTGTACACCCCCTACTGGGGATCAAGCCTGCAACCTGAGCAAGTGCCCTGACCAGGAATCTAACCACGATCTCCTGGATCCTGGGTCAATGCTCAACTGCTGAGCCACGCCAGCTGGGCTATTCTTTATTTTTTAAATTCAGTTTATTGGAATAACATTGGTTAATAACATTATATAAGTTTCAGTTGTACAATTTTATAATACATCACTTACCTTTTACATTTTGTGCTCACCACCCAAAGTCCAGTCTCCTTCCGCCACCTTATATCTGAACCCCTTTACCCCCTTCACCCCCCCGCCCCATCCCTCTGGTGACCACCATACTACTGTCTCTGAGTTTGTCTTGTTTGTTGCTTTCTGTTTTATATCCTACATATGAATAAAATCATACCGCTCTTATTCTTCTCCTCCTGACGTACTTTACTTGGCATGATACTCTCAAGATCTATCTGTGTTGTCACAAATGGCAGTATATAATCCTTTATCCTATGACTGTATATATGCACCACGTCCCGTGGCTGTATGTATGCACCACGTCCCGTGGCTGTATGTATGCACCACGTCCCGTGGCTGTATGTATGCACCACGTCCCGTGGCTGTATGTATGCACCACGTCCCGTGGCTGTATGTATGCACCACGTCCCGTGGCTGTATGTATGCACCACGTCCCGTGGCTGTATGTATGCACCACGTCCCGTGGCTGTATGTATGCACCACGTCCCGTGGCTGTATGTATGCACCACGTCCCGTGGCTGTATGTATGCACCACGTCCCGTGGCTGTATGTATGCACCACGTCCCGTGGCTGTATGTATGCACCACGTCCCGTGGCTGTATGTATGCACCACGTCCCGTGGCTGTATGTATGCACCACGTCCCGTGGCTGTATGTATGCACCACGTCCCGTGGCTGTATGTATGCACCACGTCCCGTGGCTGTATGTATGCACCACGTCCCATGACTATATATGCACCATATCCAGCCATCAGTTGACGGACACTTAGGTTGTTGCCATGGCTTCGCTATTGTGGATAATGCTGCAGTAAGCATAGGCAAGTGTCTTCAAACGTTTCAGGTTGACACCCAGAAGAGGGATTGCTGGGTCCTATGGTAATTCTATTCTTAATTTTTTGAGGAACCTCTGGACTGTTTTCCATAGAGGCTGTACTGGTTTACATTCCCACCAGCAGTTTATGAGTTCCCTTTTCTCCACATTTTTTCCAGCACTTATTTCTTGTCTCGACAATAGCCATTCTAACAGTTGCGAAGTGGTACCTCATTGTGGTTTTGATTTTCATTTCCCTTATAGCTACTGCAGTTGAGCACTTTTTCCTGTATCTGTTGGCCTCCTGTATGTCGTCTTGGGAGAAGTGTTTGTTCAGGTCCTCCATGCATTTTTAAAGTGGATTGTGTGTTTGGTGTCGAGTTGTATGAGTTCTTCATATATTTTGGAGGTGAGCTCCTTATTGGAGGTATTGTTTGCAAATATCTTCTCCCATTTAGTTTGTTGCCTTTTTGTTGATGGTTTCTGTTGCTGTGTAGAGACTTTTTAATTTGATCTGGTCCCAGTCATTAATTTTTGCATTTACTTCCCTTGCATTTGGGGTCAAGTTCACAAAAACCCCTCTGAGACCAATGTCCATAAGTTTAGTACCTATGGTTTCTTGGATGTATTTTATTGTTTTAGGTCTTATATTTGAATTAGTTTTTGTGTATGGTGTCAGCAGCCTACTTTCATTCTTTTGCTTGTGGCTGTCCTATTTTCTCAATACCATTTATTGAAAAGACTTACATTTCTTCATTGTATGTTTTTGCCTCCTTTGTCAAAATATTTTTCCCCCATATATGTGTGGCTTTATTTCTGGGCTCTCAGTTTTGTTCCATTGGTCTTTGTGTCTGTTTTTCTGCCAATACCATATTGTTTTGATTATTGTAGGTTTTTAGTAAAATTTGAGGTCAGAGAGTGTGATACATCTAGCTGATCTATTTCAGGCTCATCTTACCTACCTACCCTACCCAGCACTCAATTAGCCATCTCTCCTTGGAGCCTTAGTTTCTTTTAGTGCTGAATGTTATTAGAACCAAGATCTGTACATACTGTGACATCATGAGTTCAGACCAATTATGTCTACTTTTGAAAAACAGTCTTGATGTGTATTAAAGCACAATCATGAAAGTGAAAAGACAACCCACAGAATGGGACAAAATATATGCAAATCATTTTTGTTTGAAGGGACTTACATCTATTATATATACAGGGATCTTAAAACTCAATAATATAAAGATCACTTAATTTAAAAAATGGGTAAAGGATCTGAATAAACATTTCTGTAAGGAAAGTATACAGATGTCCAATAAGTACATGAAAAGACGCTCAATATCATTAGTCATCAGGGCAATGCAATTCAGACTCACAATGAGATATCACTTCATACCCTCAAGGGTGGCTAAAATCTGTGAGATAATAATATCAGTGGAGAAATTGGAATCCTCATACACCACCGGTGGGAATGTAAAATGGTGCAGCCATTTTGGAAGACAGTTCGGCAGTTCCTCAAACCATTAAACATAGAGCTATCATATGACCCAGCAATTCCATTCCTACAAATATACCTGAGAAATGTAAACACATGCCCCACAAAAAATTGTACAAGACTTTTATAGCAGCATTATAATACCCATAAGGTAGAAAAGACCTCGTGACCATGAGCTGATCAATGGTTAAATAGAATGTGTTATATGCATACAATGGAGTATTCACCCACAAAAAAATGAAGTACTGACATGCTACAACAAGGATGAACCTTGAAAGCATTATGTTAAGGGAAAGAAGCCAGTTACAAAAGACCACATATTATATGAAAGTCCAGAATAGGTAAATCTATACAGACAGAAAGCGTATTAGTGGTTGCTTAGGGCTGGCGGGTAAGAGAAATAACGGAGTGAATGCTAAAGGGTATGGGATTTTCTGATACTGACTATGGTGATGGCTGCATATATCAGTGACTATGCTAAAAACCATCGCATTGTATAGTTTGAATAGTGATTGTATGGTATGTGGATGATATCTCAATAAAGCCGTTTTTAAGAACTTTTTTAAAAAAAAATCCCAACTTGAAATAATACAAATTTCACATTTCACATTTCCTCTTTACCAGATGATCCCACGTTCCCTGGATTAGTCAGAGCAGCTCTGGGTTGAGTATAAGTAGGTTTTGCATAGGTTTAACTATATTCACCTAAAGTGAAGAGCAAGGCTTTTTACTTAGCCACGATGCTTTAAGGTATGTATTTAGGACTTGTAAAGAGTAAAAGGGATGTTAGCCCCAGGTATGAAAAGTAAGGTGGCCTTTTTCTAAATTTTTTGCATTAAAGATTGGAAGTGCTTAGAATATGGTCAAGAGAAAAAATTAATATTTTTCTTTCACTTAAAATTTCCATTGCATTTTTGCAGATTCGAGTCTTCAGACCACCCAACTACTCTGGCACCATTGCTTTGGCCCTGTTAGTGTCACTTGTTGGTGGCTTGCTCTATTTAAGAAGGAACAACTTGGAGTTCATCTATAACAAGACTGGTTGGGCCATGGTATCTCTGGTATGTTATCACGCACTTTTTCCCCTATTTTTTGTAAAGTAGCATAAGTTGTATAGCATTAACAGAAGGAGCCAGAGCGTTACTCTAATGGAAACACATTGCACCCTGTCTTTCAGTGCATAGTCTTCGCTATGACTTCTGGTCAGATGTGGAACCATATCCGTGGACCTCCATATGCTTATAAGAATCCACACAACGGACAAGTGGTAGGTGCATGTCCTAAGCATCAGTACTCTGACCTTCAACTCTGTTGATGTAGGAATCCAGAGCTATGCTCCTATTTAGGAAGGAAGGATTGTATATGTTTATTCCCTCTTTTACTACCTCTTCTCGTTTACTGCCTCTGCCATGTCCATACACACATGCACATATATATAATATGTTGGGGGTTTTTTAGTGTGAAGACTGCTTTTATTAAAAATTAGTGTACCTATGACATGAAATTTATATGCATAAACTGTTTTTTCAACTTTGTATATACTGCTATGGCAATAATATATGATGTTACAGAGGAAATAGGAATAGTTTATAGCCAGTGTCCTATCAATGGTAAATGTCATTTACTTTGGGAGAGATTAATTCGAACATTATTAAGAACTCTGGCAGTCACTGTTAGAATGCTAGGAGCTGTTCGCCACAGAATTAAAAGTGAAATTGATGTGTAGTTAAATCACTAGCTGAGTCCGTAGAAACTTAGAAAATTATAAAAATAGGTACCAATCTAACCCTAATACTTTCAACAATAAAGAATACTTTCCAACAAAAAAAACCTATCTCATCAAGGAGAGAGGTATCTTATGTAGCTAAGCAAACTGCCTATGTATAGCTGATTGGTTAGAGAATGTTGTTGCATTAGGCTGAAGAACAAGGAGAAATATAAAATGCAGAACATTCAAAGGCAGGCTAGACATCCAGCATTTAAACAGAAAGCTTAAATGGCCCCTGAAAATGGAGTGGCCTTTTCTTGCATTAAGCAAATCCTGTGTATGTAAGCATTCTACATACACACAGTGTAGCAAAGGGAATGGATCTGGTCTGTGCATTCCGAAGACGCTGTAAAGAGGCCAGCCAAAGAGAAATGAAGACAGGCTTTCAGTGCCTGCTACACCTCTACCTTCCTTCTTGGTAAAAGACTGAGAGGGAGTCACCAGAATTCAAAGCAAGCAACAGAATTATAAGGTAAAGCTATTAAGCCCAGATGCCAAAGTACAGAACTTCCATTAACATCTGGATCAACTGAAATGGACATTGGCGCACAGTGTTTCTGCTTATGAACTTCAAAGTTCATCTTAAGTTTTCACCAGTATGCTTACATCTATTTTACTTATTTGCCAGAAATACTCCTGCACTACACATGGAGTCTTTTTTCTGTACCAAAGTGTGTGTGCTGCCTCCTGCCTTCCTGGCTGTCCCGAGTGGGGCATACAGGCTGATCGGAGATTCCACTGTTGGGCTAAAGCGTTAAAGCCGGGCTCTTTCTCAGCACCATTAAGTCATGTTTTAGAAGCGTAAGATTCACAGCCACTGTTATTTCTTCCAGATACTTTTAATTTTGGAGCCCTGTAGCATTTAGGTACAACTTTTCTTCCTTTGTAAAATATCAAAGTAGATATAGTTTTTGTTCCTAGGCCGCACTAAACTTTACTCCCCTTATAGATTGGCTGTCTTTCATGAAGAGTGAAGGGATGCTGGGGCTGTAAAACTCACGTCACACAACCACAGATGAAGCCCCTCCCACCCAGGGGACATTTGGTAGTTTCTGGATACATGTTTGGGTGTCACAGCTGTGGGGCCTGCGCCCACCAGTGGCAGTGAGTGGTAGAGGCCAGGGATGCTGCTAAACGTCCTGCAGTGCAAAGGACAGCCCCCCAACAAAGAGTCGTCAGGCACAGAATGGCGGAGTGTTAAAATGAGAAGCCTTGGTTTAGAGCTATAGAGAACCTTAGATATAATTTCATCCTAGATATTTTGCAGCCAAGGAAACCATCCCATCTAGCATATATACCCAAAGGATGACTTAAAAAATGTTTTTATATTGAAATAACCAGTGCTTAGGATCACAGTGACCTATATATTGAATGCCACCAGTAAATATGATTGATATGTAAATGGTTTGGGTATAATACTGTTCTTTTACATACCTTAGTAAGCATGATTTAGTCTGTGGCATTTTATATGCTTAAAAAGAGGTTTACATAAGAGCAAGTAAAGAAGAGCCTTTGGCCCATGAAGTCATTTTTATGCCTTTGTCCTGAAGTGTTCCAGCAAAGAAAACAGGGTTGAGTTCCTCCCCCACTCTGCCTCTTCCGGTTATGTCATTTGGGGGAAGTTACTTAGTCTGTCTGTTCTTTGATAAGTGAGTCTAATAGTGCTTGTCTTACCTTATAGTTGTTTATGAGATAAAATATGAGAATACTTGTATAAGCACTTGTAAAAGTCTTAGTTTGGGTTCTTTCCCAAACCAAACCAAAGACAGTGATTCAAGGGAAAGTAGTTTATATCGGAGAAGGAAACAAGGGCTGGAAGTGGGAAACTGAGTCCAGAAAGGGAAGGCAGTCAAAAAGATGTCAGTTCATGTTGGGGGATCTCCGGGAGCCAATGTAGAAGGTGGGTGGTGCGGGGAGCTCGGGTGTTTATACACCAACTCTCATCAGTCACTGCAGCGTGCTCTTTCCCTGGGAAGGCGTTACTCCCCCAGACTGGTGGCCTTCGGCCGTGAAAGAAACCAGCCAGGCTAAGAATGCCTTGCTGGTGGTGGGAGTCAGGCTGGGGTGCCCTGAGGGTTTCGGGGCCAGGGACCACGGGAAGTGCACGCCCAGACAGTTCTACTGCAACGCCCAATAATATGCTAGCATTACTCCCTTTCTAGTAGATTCCAAAGCAGAGGGAAGAAATCATGAAGAAATATACTTTTGCCTGGCCGGGCGTGGCTCAGCGGTTGAGCGTCAACCTGGGATCCAGGCGATCAGAGTTCGATTCCCGGTCAGGGCACATGCCCGGTTGCAGGCTTGATCAATGACTCTCTCATCATTGATATTTCTGTCTCTCTCTCTCTCTCCCTCTCCTTTCCTCTCTCTGAAATCAATAAAGATATATTTTAAAAAAAAAAAAAAAGAAAGAAATATACTTTTGAATTGGTGTTTTTAAGATATCATGCTCTGAAAGAATTAGCAACAAATAGTACTCAAAATATCTCACCTATTGTGGGTAATTTTTTAAGCCATATCATATATGTCTTGTAAATAATCCTGCAAGGAAAAGTGTAAAAAATGTACGCATGTTTGAGAGTATCGATTAGAAACTTTTACCCTTGTCACCCATTTTCGCAATTCTTGTATAGAAGAACAGATGGTGTTTCCTTATAGTGAGCTTGTTACCGATGCTCCTGCGACAGGGCCTGTGTTTTGCATTGTTTCCCAGAAGCGCTGTGCATTGCAGTCCTCTGAGCTGTTGTTTATCTCCTGCCCATTCACCTTACAATCAGCAGCTTACTCTCAGGTAGACATTGGTCATAATGGTTCAGAGATTTTGGTTGTGAACAGAATTGATACATAGTAGGCCTGTGTCATCCCTGAACTGCTGGTTCGAGCTAGACTAGTTCTGTTTTCTAACTGGACAGAACTAACTGGGTCAGGCTGGCTTAATAAGACTGGGGGATGTTGCTGGGTCTTCATTTAGGTACTTGTTTTTAAAAATATTAAACATATTTATAATGTTGGTGACTTCACGTAGTCATATGTTAATTGTGGAATAAAGCATGTCTAGATGAATCTAAAAATGCTACCACAATAAGTTTCACTATGTTGAATTTGAAATGTGAATTAATACAGAGGAGGTAAAGAAGACTAATAGTGCAGGCAGTGTGATACTTGCTCATTGCAGGTTTACTTTTTGTCACTATTAAGGTGCTTCGTAACGGCACAAGTACTAATGGTCCACTTAACAGCGTGAAAGCCTTCACAAAAGCAGCCATCACTGGGTAGCTAAAGGGAAACTGTACAACTGGATAGTTACGTGGGGGCATAAAGACATTTTCTGTTAAAAACAAACAGTCATCTTAAATGAAATGCATTCAGTGAGATAAAGCTTATACTTGGGTACTAGCTCCAACATAAATACATGCATTTATTTTTAACATTTGGCTTTTATCTGCTGCCTGAAGATTGCTCTGGGTGTACCAAATACATTTCAAGTTTCCACTGCATTGCAGTTCAGTTTTCAGTTGTTAATAGAGCTAAGAGCTGTGTTCTATATGCACTGCAAAGCATTTTATGGCAAAATGGCATGTAGCTTAAGGTAGAATTTATCATTAATGAAGCATTTTTTATGTTTCAGGCAGCGGTAACGTCCTCACACTTTCATGCCTCAGGGATTCTGCATAAGCTTGCTCTATGAGGGACATATTTTAGTCATAAGTCAAAAATTACATAGGCTTATTTAAGTTAAATATACTTATTTTTGTGTAAAAATATTTACTGGGATGTTCCTACTTTTCTTGTATTCTTCATACCACCAGTAAAGAGAATGTGAACATAGAAAGAAAATGTTTAGACAAAAAACCAGGAAGACAATAATTGGTACCCTAAAGATATGCAGAAAGCTTAGGGTGGAGTTCTCAGTTGAGACTGTGCCCTTTGATTTCTTTATTGTTTTCCATCCAGTAAATGTTTGTTGAGAGCCCACTGGACTCCAGGTACTGTGTTTGCCCTAGTAGCACAGCCCCATCCTGGGCTCAGAGACTAGGGGGACAGAGTATGATGTGGATTTGCCCACATCGCGGACATTAAGGCCTCGCATCGCTGGTTCTAGGAGCTGGAATTGTTTCTGAGTTTTGTTTCAGTACCATGGTCACTTTGTTGTGATGACTGCATCTTTTTTTTTGTATGTTTTGCCTTTTCATGCCTTTTGGTTTTCATATCCTTTTGTCTGTCCAGTGGCCTTTGGTAAAACTTGCCTTTCTCTCCAGCACATTGCTGCTGCTCTGTGCCTTCTCTCCACCCGGTTTCGATTTCCACCTTCACAATTAACTCCATGCGCTCTCGATCCTGAACTCTGGCTGGTCCTCATGACCAGCTTTTGTCGCCAACCCACACTGCTGCTGCACTTCCTTCCAACTGTTATGACCTAGGATCCTGGCAGTTAATTAAGAAGGACCATGTGATTTGTGTTCTTACCTCCTAGTAAAGCATTTCACACATGATAATAT